CGATCTGCTGCAGCATGAAGCACGTCACCTTGTTGTGGTACTGAAGAGATAGGAGGCAGCCGGGAGTTAAACACCGGTGGGAGTTAAACACAAGATGGGAGTTAAACATCAGCTGAGTTAAACACCAGCTGGGAGTTAAACACCATGGACTCACCGCCTGCTTGCACCAGGAGCAGCTGATGGCGACGATCTCTTTGCTATGGAATGAGAACTTCTGCTGGAAGCCCTGTGGGGGGACATTGGAGACCAGTTAGGGCCCGGCCCCCACAGTCCTGACCCCCTCAGGGTCGGGTCTGACTTAGTCAGGCGCTCACCTTCCCACACTGTCGGCACTTCCCCGTCTGGCGCCTCCTGTGGACCCAGTGGTGTCGGACCACGTTGGACTGAAAAACAGGCGTCGGTGAGCTCCAGTCGCACAACAACACTCAGAGACACAATTCCTTCAGTGCACTGACCTCCCGGATGGCCCGACTCGCCGGCTCCCTGAAGGACGGCTTGCACCTGAAGTTAATCTGAACACATAGGAGACGGTGAGGTGGCGGCAGAGACACCAGGGTTAGGGTTAAGGGTTATGTTTAGGGGTTAGGTTTAGGGGTTGGGGACAAGGGCTGGGTTTAGGGTTAGGTGTTCAGGTTAGGTTTAGGTTTTGGGGGTTAGGTTTAAGTGTTAGGTGTAGGGTCAGGGTTAAGGGTTAGGGGCCAGGGTTAGGGTTAAGGTTAGATGTTTGGGTTAGGTTTAGGGGTTAGGGTAAGGGGTTAGGTTTAGGGTTTAGGTTTACCTTCTCCAGCTGCTCCATACACATGACGTGCACCGATATCTTACAGCCTGCACATTTCTTCCTCGGCACAGACTTTTGCTGGAGAACAAAACCACAGATTCACCATAGCGACGCGTTGGACGGGTTAGGGTTAGGGTTAGGAACCATCTATGCCGGGACCAGGTCCGACCCCTAGGACTCACCAGGGACTTGGCGATGCAGTACTGCTCCCCGACGTAGCAGAAGTCTCCAGAGACGCTGGCCTCGAACCAGATGTGGTCCCCGTACTGGGCGTTTTCCTGAAAGCAAAGACAGTCAAAGATAAAAAAAACAAAAAACAGAATGAAGTCATGTTTCAAATTCTGATGCATCAGCTTTACTTTTAGGACATTTTTTTATGGTTTAGTGGAAAATTCAATTGAATTTAATTTTCAATTTTGCACTTTGAAATTCAACAATTGAAATTCAAATTGTTGAATAAAATTTTTTTTTATTAACAATTTTTAATTAAAAATTCAAATAGTTGAGTTGAAAACTGTCTGAATGGACTGAAACATCTGGGCTGGTGTGAGGGTGTGCTGGACCCACCGTCCAGTCCACGGTGCCGTCCAGCTGCAGGTCGCTCTGGCCGGACGGGGCCTCGCCGGGTTGGCCGCCGGCCGGCTGCAGGCCCGACTTCGCTATGGCCTTCCTGAGAAAACACACAGCGAGAGACATCTGAGGGGAGCTGAGGCAGACCTGGACCGCCTCCCCCCATCCCAGACCACCACACGGGGGAGTCGGTTAGCCCTGAGCTGCTGAGGCACCAGATGTGGGAGTCCCTCAAACATCTGGGTTTGAGCCCTTTAGATGTTTACAGTATATTTATTTGATTTCTCAGAGGAAATGTGACAGTAAACACATAGACACAGAAGAAAAACATCTTCTGAAGTCATCCCATCATCCACTGGTGACCTTTCACCTGCTCATGTGACTGCAACCCCCCCCCCGGGCTACATACAGCAGGAAGGCGCTCAGGCTCTCCAGCCGGCCGTCGTAGGCGGCGGCCCCCAGGGGGCTGAGGGCCCCGTGGCCCCTGTAGAGGGCCGGCTGGCTCAGGTGGTACACCGAGGTCCTGCGGCCGGACAAGGGGGGGCCCCGCCCCGGCCAGGGGCTCCCCGCCTTGGAGATGGTGGACACCCTCCTCCTCCTCCGCTGGCAGCTGCTGGGGGGGGCGTCCCCTACAAACACCTGGGAGGAGTTCCTGCGCAGGCAGCGGGGGGGCCGGATCAGGGGGGGCGGCTTCCTGCACACCTGCACCGTGGAGGAGCAGGCGGAGTCCGGAGGGAAGGGAGGAGCGGGGCCCCAGCAGGCCGCCGCCACCTCCTCCTCCTCCTCCTCCTCCTCTTCCTCCTCAGGGAGCTCCGCCTCCGACAGCTGGCTGGCCTCTGATTGGCTGCTGGGGGAGTAGTCGCTGCTGTCGTCGTCCCCGTCCAGGCGGAGGCTGCTGGAGTGGGAGAAGGCC